ACCGAGGCCCCTGGAGACTTCCCGGCATTCACCGCTGCCTCTTAGATGGAAGGGGAGAAATAAAACAATAGTGCCTAATTCACTGGGCTCTGAATGCAGGGATGGAGTGGGATGCAGCAAGTAAAGCTACGTTTTCACTGAAGTCAGCTAATTAACTGCATTAGATAGGAACAAAACACGGGGTTAATGAGCTGGGAAAACACTTTTTGGATATCCTTTGGTACACAGTTTCATCGGATTAGGAGAAAATCTTTAAACTTCTGCAGAGTGCTTTTCTTGAACTTACTGAGCCTAAAAAAAAAAACAAAAAAAAAACAGAAGTTCTATTATGTAATCTGAATGGGAGCCAAAAGTAAAACACATTTTTTTCAAATGATGCTACACCTTCCCACCTACACCTAAAAACACAAATGCATCACTTGTTTCTGCAATAGAGTTTTCTAATTTCATGTCCTGCTAAAGTCTGCAGCTTTCAATACAGCCAGACTCATCAATGGAAGGAAACAATCCTGAAATTCTGGAGCTACATGTCGCTTCATGGCTTCAAGTCTTTTTTGAGCCCACCGGACCTCATGGACATGCTCCATAAAAGCAAAGGAAATGGAAAACGACTCCCAGGGGATCATGCCAGGCTCCTTTCCAGCCTCTCTGGTTGTTTTTGTTTTTCAAACCACTGCTGTTAAATTGAAACTTGTGACGGTGCGGTGTTTGAAGGAAGAGCAGGCGATTAAAAATGAACTGCAGTGGATATTTTTGCAGCTGCTTAGAAGGACAGTTGAACATGTTGCAGGTCTGGCAGGAACCCAGAGAATGAGAGGTTCTGGTTTTCTCATTAGTGTCCTCTAGTTCGGTGCAAAGGTTATAAACAAATTTCCTTTTCAGCCGCACAAGTTGGAATAACACACAGCTGTGGTTATTAGAGGGACATTTTTCACCATCATTCATTTTAATCAATGCAATAATCCTACTTGCTAAAGATCCTAATGCACCATTGAACTAAGCCAAATTATTAAATGCAGACAGGTTGAAAAAATAATCCAGCACCTAACAATTCACCATATTAAACTAATTATTGGATAATCACTGAATATATTTGATAAATGTGATAATTTAGGATTCACATGTGCAGATTTCAGTCAGTTTCTACATGCCTTCTTTGTCTGACACTAAATATAATCAAATTTAAAATCTAAATTTAGAAGCAATGGTTTTAATTTAAGTCAGAGGTTCAGTAACATATTAGTGTCATAAATCTCATCAATAACCTGGTTTTATAAAACATTTATCCTCGACATTCTGATTGAGGGTTGTTAAAGGGGGTGATTGTCTCCTGTAATACCTGAAACCTGTCCAACCTGTCCATCAGAACCATAGACAGGTTTCAGGTATTACATGAGACAATCACCTAACCTGACTCAAAAAAATTCCGTAGAAGTAATTTTGGGAAGGGGCGAAAAATACTGGTTAGCTGATTGGCCTATGTTGGTGATAGACGGGCCAAATAAATCAATCAGATCAACGAATCATATGACATAGCAGAGTGACGACGAAGAGGAGCCAATTGATAGATCAAACTCTTGCTGACACCAGCCGGCAGAAGAGCAAAAACATCTTTTCCTCTGAGAAAAGCCTCCAGAGCAGTGTTTTGCTCTTCTTTCAGTGAAGAAATACAGTGTAATTCCGATAAAACTTGCTCGATAGCGACGCTAACGCTAGTTTCATCGGCTGAAGCCGCCATGTTCTTTAGACTGAACTGTCGCGCTTCTCGTTGCGTCACACCTCAACCCGCCTCAAAGCCAGTGCTGATTGGACGTTCGTTTGGTGAACAGCTCCAAATTTTCTTCAACGGAGAGTCTCCAGACTGATCTGCGAGTGAAATCTTGAAAGCTCGCGAGATCAGGATGGTCTCGCGAGGCTAACAATCACCTCCTTTAATGACAATCCCCCCCTATAACGAAGGACCATCAGAATCATAGACAGGTTTCAGGTATTACAGGCTAACAATGGAACCAAACGACCCGCTGGTCGGTTTCAATTTGCATTTTTTTAAGCAATACAAGGCCTTGCTAAATAAAGCCTCAAACTCACAGCAGATCCAGACATTTGAATTGAGAGAGCTTCCTGGAGGGGAAGCGAAACGTCTCCAAACCTTGGAAACCAAGTCCAGTGGATTTGTTTTTAAACTTTTACGGAATGTCTAAAATATGCCTACAAACGTTTTAGTCTGCAGGTACCTGCATTGAGTTGCCTTAAGGATTGCTACCCAATTGAATTGTAAACTACAGTACAGACCAAAGGTTTGGACACACCTTGACCTCTTGAAGCTCATCAAGAGAATGCCAAGAGTGTGAAAAGCAGTAATCAAAGCAAAAGGTTGCTACCTTGAAGAACCTAAAATATAAGACATATTTTCAGTTGTTTCACACTTTTTTGTTAAGTATATAATCCCACATGTGTTAATTCATAGTTTTGATGCCTTCAGTGTGAACCTACAATTTTCAAAGTCATGAAAATAAAGAAAACTCTCTAAATGGAGGCCAAACTTTTGTTCTGTACTGTAAATTAAGGAATTTTTATTTTATAGCCACCAGTTTGACTGTTGACATCTTTATATTACTGGATTTTATGTGTTTAGATAATATGCCTAGAAAGTTGAATAAAACACTGTATAAATGTTCAGCCATTAGTAAATATGAAACGTTCTGTATCACAATCAGCCGATAACTCTTTATATTATCTCTGACCCTATTAGCTTAGATCTGAGTCATAATCTTGTGACAGTCACAATGTGGCAGAAGCAGCCATAGTAGCCCACAGTTTAATAATAAACTACTGTGACAGTTTGAAAGCCACCTCATGCTTAATATGGGACATTTAATAGGCGTCTCATAACCAATATGCTCAGAGATTCCTTTCCACACAGCTACGATTCAAACTGACCCCGATAGAAATGTGAAGCTGTTTGTCTAACAGCTAATTACAGCTGGCCTGACATCTGATCCGAGAACTGTTGGTGAGGGAGAAAAATAACATTTCCCCTTCAATCTTCTTCCACAGACATGTTTATACTTTGATCAAATCTCCCTGCTAATATCAGTTCACGCTGCCATTTAAATCCCAAAACAAACAAACTTTTTCTGAGACGCCCTGGTCGACTCTGCTTACCACAGCAGGGGTCTAATGCATTTCCTGCGCTGTAGAGGGGCAGACAAGAAACGGGAAACAGGCTTCTGTATATTCACACAAAATGTATTTGTCTTAAGCTTTAGTGCGATCTGAGAACGGAGTGAAAAATGTTTAAGGAGTTTCAATCTGTGGCACCTATACTGTATCCTCCAGCTAAAGGCCAGGGTTTCAGCATTGAAGAAAACACACTGAATACTGTGTCTAGAGTCACATGAAGGCTTATGGACAAATTAATTATTCAAGCTGGAAAGATGTGAACATGCTTTACACTCTAAAAAGACCACCAGAGGCTAACTAAAGCAAGACTCTTGTCTAAACTCAACAGAAAAGAGGCATACTATCTTTCATCCAATTTCTGCCTGCTGTAACCACATCATATAAAAAAGTCATGTCTCTCTGGGGTTTTTGAGGTGAACGGAGGGACGGAAAACCTGAAGGGCAACACTTCCAATCTAATTGGCAAAGAAATTTACCCAAAGTCATGTCTGAACTTTACTCTGAGGCTTTACTATGAGGTTAAAATCACACAATGTTTTAATCCAAATATATATTACACTTCATCAAACATTAGATTTCAATTTCAGCCGATTAGAGAAAAATGGATTCATAATTTTGCACAGTTATTTTAATAAATTTTTCAGCCGACTTCTTTATAATTTAGAAATTAGGAAACGTTAAGTTTTAGACTAAAGATGACGAAGCTAGAAAGTATTCTAAAAGCTAATAAAGGAAAAAGGTTTTGATTATGAATGCAAAAATAAATAAATAGAGGTCATTACAATATTCTAACAAACAAAATTTGATGACTACTTTAATGGTAATTTATCTGCTATGTATAGATGTTATCTTCTGTTTGACATTTGCTTGCTCGTACTGAAAACTCTGCAGAAGACTGAAAACTTACAACAGCAGCACAATGAATTATGAATCAATACGGGCTCCCGCTCTCTTTAACTTTACGCAGGCTGCCTTGGGCCATTTGGGGATACGTAGAAAGCACTGTTAAGTCAAACCCATTCATTCAGCGGCGCATGTACTCTGCTGCACCCATTCCCGCCGCCCTGCAGGCTCTCCACGATTGCTTCCAAGTCCACAAAATCTATCTTTAGGGCCGTGCAGCACTCGCTCCATTGATTGGAGGCGGTCCAGGACAGGCCTGCAGTGCACAGAACTGCTGCAGCAGCACAGATGCAAAAGATGCAAAAGATGGGTTTTCTGAAATAAATGACAGCTGTCAATCAAACTGTCAAAGGCTCAGGTCACATTTTTTACTACAAAGATTTGAAAATGCTGCCAAGTGAAAAGGTCACATTAAGGTGAAATCAACACGGGAACAGATGACGGAAAGAAAGAGGTAGAAAGGTCAAGGGAGACAGAAAGAGAGACGAATATTCAAAGGTCTCCATTCAGCCGCCGCTTCCCACAGAGTAATTCCACATTCCCCAAAGAGCGGAGAGCCACGTCTCTCAGCTGACATTTACCGCCTGCCTTCTGTTGCTGTGATTATTTTCTTCTCCAGGTGTGAGAGCCAACCTGCACTTTCTGTGCAATAATGCTGCTACGGGATGAACGGGACACAAACCAAGGCCAAAAGAAACCCTTTATACTTCCACTGATACCATGACCATGATGAAAATAAGCTGGGATACAACAGATGAGAAAATCTGACTGTCATTGGAGGCAGAATTTAACTCATTTAGAATCAACACAAATAATGATTTTTTTAGAATGTCATGAAGCCTCAGTAATGAAAGCAGTAAAAAATAAGAAAGCATCAGTTCTTTAGAATGGCCACAAAGCTGTGAGAAGCCTACCTGTCTGTGGATGGAGGCCGCTCGTTTCGGGCCCTGCTGCCTGGTGAGCAGAGGGAGTCAGAGAGCTGGTGCTGGTGATGAACGTCGGGGTAATCGTCTCGGGGGCTGTGGGCCCGGCTATGGCTGCTGTCCACGGAGAAGTTCAGAGGGTTGACGCCGGAGTACGTATGATCCTCCTCAGAGGATCTGTCTAATGTGCGGCCGACGTCCAAGATCTCTGCGTAGTCCCGTTCCCGAGCCTGGCGTTCCCTCAGCTCCCTCGTCTTGGCTTGAATCCTGACGGCAGAGATCAAGGAATGGATATTTATCCTTGAATACTTTTTAGATGTTTAAAGGTTCTAGAACTGTAAAAATAAAATATTAAGAATCTTTCTACACTTTAACAATGGTGGTTAATTTAAGTCAAATCAATCATCAGGCTGAGACCAGCATCCTTCTGTGCACCTGTACATGTGTAAAGTATACTACAACCTGACATATCGATGTGTGACCATCATCTGGATCTGCTTTTATTGCCTTTTTAAACTTGTTGGATAATCTTTCAAAACATCGGAATCATTCTAACCAAATATATTAATAGAGCAGCTTCTCAAACTCTGAATTTCAGTGAGAGGAAGCTCCACGTCTTGAGTAATCCAAAAAAAAAAAAAAAGAAAACTAAAGTAATGAATAAATAATGTTTTTTTTTTTTTAATGTTGGTGCTTTTCTTAAGTCCTACAATGACACCCATAAATATTAAATAAAAATCTACTTATTTACTTATTTTACATGTTTATATTACCATTTTATTTTACGCTGTTGACATCCTTACATAAATCAAATTTAGTCAGATGATGGCACCCTTTTTTTCCATCATTCGTGTGGTGTTTTATTTTCCCACTAGTTAGGAAAATCACAGATTTTGTTTAGTTTGGAGAAGTAAAACATACTTTGAAGTATTTCAGAAAATACAAACCATGTTAGTGGGTCTTAGGAATCTTCTTTTTTATCATTATATGTTATCTATATATGTGACAAGTGCATAGTTGGTCTTAAAAATCTAAGTTAATGACACTAATTGATATAGTATAAGAAGATAATATGAACTTAGTTATTATATAGCTACTTGTATGTCATTTAAGGAAGTTATCAATTATTCCTACTGCCAGAGACTGAATAATTACTCCCCTGTGGTGGATATTTGGTAGCTAACTAATGCTACCAAGGATATAGTGAAACTATAGTAGGACAGTAACAGGAAGCAGTCACACTCGGCTCAGATTCTGCTGTGATGAACCAGTTTCTGTGACAAGACTTCAAGAGTTATTAAATAAGTCACCAAGTTGTCTGCTGCAATACAAGCCAGCAGGAAGGATCTGCATCATCTCTAATCTGTGAATTAAAGTGAAGCTCCAACATCATTATGAATACATTTGTTTCCCGGTCTGTTAGAAGGCAAATAATAAGTTCTTATGTAGACCTCTATAAAAGATTTAGAAATGCTAGGGAAGTTGGTCTGTATCAAAATAAAGGAATATACAAATACACATTTAGTAGAAAGAGCTTTTTGACTGATCAGAAAAGCAGCGTAAAATGGAGATGGTTTAGTCCTGGTTTAAAGGAAAACTAGTTTCTAAATCGTCTACAGAGCATTGAAGCTAAATGATGCATGCTACTAAACTCTGCATTGGTGATTACAGACAAGCACTCTTTATTGTTTGACACCTGGTTGACTAGTATCAACATTTTATGGACCAGAAGAAAGTAATCTGCTTTACCTGGTTTTGATAAGGACTCCAGCTACAGCTCTTTACAGAGCAAAAAAATAGCAGCACTGACAGGGGCTTGCAGTTTCTTATTTGAGGCATCGAAATTATGCTTAGAAAGATAAAATAAAATCAGGAAATAATTCTTTGCTATATTGGATCCAAACACTTAAGTCAAAAACAAGCAAATGGTCTATGGTGTGAAATTGGTGATTCAAAAATTTTACATTTTTGACACAACTCCTACTATGAATACTATGAAACATAGTTCGTGGAAAAAAAAAGAAAAAAAAAAAGGGTTTTGTTAATCAGAGGTTTTTATTCTCTTTAAACTGCATTTAGAAGGCTTAAAGTTCTTAAAGATTTAAAATAAGAACACATGAATAATTAAAACCGTTTAATAAAAGTTTTATTTAAAAAAAATTAAAAGAAGCATTCATTGAATTTGAAGCAGAATCTTATAAAAAAAAAAAAGACAAAAAACAGAACCAACAGACAGTTTGTTGTTTTCTTTTACTTTTCATAACAGCAGAGAGAAGACGTGGAGTTTATCGTTTGAAGTGCCCCTCTGTGAATAATAAACTAAAGGTTAGAGTCTCCTGAACAGTCCATGGATTAAAGTACTGCCAACATGCCTCTTTCCTTCCAAACAAAGCACACCACCCCTGGCATCTTACTGTGTCGCTAAAATCACCATTTCCTTTACAGACATTATCTTTGTGAATGATTTGCAACACCATTTTCTGTTGGCAGTGGGGGACTAACTATCGTAGAGCCCTGTAATTAGAGCCTTGACAATTATCAGGGCTTTACAACTAGCAATTATCAAACTGCTCTCTTCTCTTTATAGGACGCTTTTTAACGACAGCGGGGAAGTGAATGGGACATCAGCCACATGGAAAACCCAGCAGGATAAGGAGGAAAATGACTCCCAGAAGAAAAGAAATTGGAAAAAAAAAAGAAATTACTTTTAAACTAAAAAACAAGGCAGTTACTGAAGTTTCAGAGTAGCTACGCATCAGCAAGATCTGCTCCAACTCCTGCGATGTAGCCTAAACCAAACGTACACGTTGTCCTCGCTATGCGTTGACTCAGCGACTAATATCTCAGAGGGACACTGGGCTCTCGAGGGAGCTATCTTTAAACCCAAAGGGAAAGCTGTGTTTTCTTTCAGGGAGAGCAGGACTTCTAGTAGCAGTGCCTGATTGCATACACAACAACAAGGACTGATAAGATAAGGCCAGACACAGCAATCCACTTCCCAGCCTTACCGGTGTGGGGCTTTCTTCGTACTTAAGGCCAGGATCTGTCAACAGGACCAGTTTCTCATCAAGGAACCAGAGTGAAAGAACTTGTCAGAAGGCTCTTCTCATAGAGGCAAACTCAACTAAGATCAGTTAAGATCAGGCAGGAAAGGCTAAAATTAGCTAGAAATATTTTAGATTGCCTCCCGAATGTGGGCAGAATTCACTCAGAGGTTTGCTGTTAAAAGTTTAACTGGCTGAAAGGAAACAAAAATGTATCAAACACTGATGTTTAGACGGTAAGCAGAAGACGTTTGAACAGATCTTAAATAATAGATGGAAACAGAAGTCTGAGCTTACAGGTCAAAGCCTTTAAATTAAGGTAAAATAACCAAAAAAATGTATATCTTTTTCCCATTGGGTGTACATCTCTGGCATTAGTAACAAATACATTTACTTTATTTCCCTTGCAATATTGTTACAGCCTTATTAGCCTTAGCAATATTTTTGTGGGAATAAAGACACCTTTAGATAAAAAAAATCTGCTTTCTCAATGAACTTTTCGTAAGCGGTTTTAGAAAAGCTAAGTTTTTGTGTGGAAAATGCCTTGAACACATTTTGCTGCTTTGGTTCCTTTAACAGTCAATCTGAAGCAGCATTAAAACTCTTATAGATGAATATCTGCCCACTTGGCTCTAAACCCAGATAAGAATGGTAGATCAGACAGAGAGGCAAGCAAACCCAAAGACCCCAGCTGTTGGTGACAGGATGCTTCTTGTCAATGGAGCGAGTAGAGAAGGTGGTGGCTCTGAATAGGAAGGTCAATGGACAGGTTTTGTTCCAGTCATTGATTAATTGTTTTGTCTCGTCTTTTGTAAAAATGTCTCAAAAATACCTTTTGGTGATGATTGAAAGGTGAGAAACAATAACAACAAAAAGTCTTTCAATCATTTAAACAAAGGTTCTCTTTTTAAAAGTAAGTCATGTTTAATGATGCTGAGGATAAAAGAAATAAGAGGGAAACGGCTATAAGAAATGAGCGAGTGGCACCATAATGACAATCAATAGGAGAGAGAGAGCTACTGTAAGAGACAGTGTTTGAAAGAGCATAGAAATAGCAGGATGGGACATTATGGCTGAAGAAATGTATTCGATGAGTGACCTTTCTACCACATCAAGCCAGAACAATGGCCCATTATGTGCCATTGTATCCAGAGAGCTACAAGCTGGCCTTTTTAGCCATAACGCTGACATAAGTGTCAGACCAGAGTGAAAGGCAGGAAGTACAAGAAGGGAAAAGGTCGGGAGGGATAAGATGGCTGCTAAAAGCTCCTTTTGGCTGATAACACGTGTGGATTGTTGTTTTAAAGATTTGGCACCAAGTACCTGCCATGACGGTGTTAATGAAGTCCTTGAAATAGGATTTGCAAGGACATTTTGAAAAAGTCTGTGAACGCAAAGGAAACTGAAAATTCATGTGGAAATGTACAAATCTGGATGAGAAGTGGTGATGCTGAGCAACTGTAGAGATCAGAGAAGGTTTACTGTGAGACTATTGTTTATTGTGCAGTGTCTTGCTTCCTCCTGGTATTGAACTGATTTATTAAATGTGTGGGGTGATTAGGGTACAGCCCAAAAGTTGTTGGGTCAAGACAATGTGAACAGGGAACTTGTTTCACTATATTATGGAAATTTTTTTAAAATCCCACTGATGTTTTAAAACAGTTTTTGGTTTTTAAGCTAAAGCAAGAACTGTCTGAGGTGATGGGAAAAACATCTCAGTTGCATTAAGTCCTGACTTTCACTAGGTCATTTCAAAAACTTAAAGGACCAATAAGCAATACTCCTTATTTTAGATAGAATTAAAAAATAGCGAAAAACTACAGGTATCTTCTTTGATGTAATACGGTGAGTCCTCACACACAGTCACTCTGTGTTGTTCTCCAGAGTCTTATTTACAAGCTGAACAGGCTGCGCATGAATGCATGTATGTATGTCCACGTGAATAGCTGCCACACAGAGTTCAGTTATAATTGTTATTATATAAAACATTTTTTCCTTGATAACAGCATTATAGTTATGAGTTACTTGCTTCTTCAGAAGACATGCTTCTCTTAAAGGAATAGTACACCCAAAACATGATTAGCCTTTATTTTCTACTCACCCCCATGCTGAACAACACCCTGGAGTACTTTTTTGATATCTCAAATGCATCTGGAGATCTGGGAGGCTTCTTGCTGTCTGCTGATATTCAAATAATGGAGGTCTATGGTGCCCGAGACAGAA